GCAACGCTTTTTTTATAAAAATTATACTTTTTTTTAAAGAAAAATTCGGGTAATTTTTTATTAGCTGGCAACCTTATTTTGTAAGTTTTTATTTTTGTACTAAGAAAAATTCACGTAATTTTCTATTAGCTGTCAACCTTATCTAAAAAAATGTTATTATTAGTTTTTTAGTTTTCTATTAAACAAAATTCGCGACATGTTTTATTAGCTGACAACCCTATATTACAAAAATTGCTATTAAAATAAATTGTTTAAGCAACTTTTCTGCCCAAAACCTTTTTTTAAGAACCTACAAAGTTAGAAAAAAGTAAAATTTGAAAATTGGCAACCCGATTAAACGAAATTTTACTTCTAAAAAAATTTTAAAATGAATTTAAAAAAAACCTTACTTTGCGATACCGTTTACATACAACTTCATTCTTTTCAATTTTTTTAAATTAAACTTTTAAAACTGTTTAAATTTGTATAAGGTGGCAACCCTACTTGAAAAAAAATTTTAAGTGAAATACAAAAAAAAAAAAAATACTTGGCAGAAACCCTACATAAAATAATTATTTTTAAAAGTAACCTTTTAATCTTGATTAAGTTTATAGTAAGTGGCAACCCCATTTGGAAAAAAAATAATAATATAATTGATTAAGCAACTTTTATGTGCTATAACTGCTTTATTTTATTTAAAAATGGGTCATCCTATATGAAATTTTATTTCTAGCTACTTAGAATTTTATTAAAAATATAAATAATATTTTTTATTTATGAGGACTTTCCATTTCTTATCATGATGTAAATATGTATAATCTCATTTTTAATTTTTAAAAATATAATTTTTTCTCATGGCATATAATTGCTAATTTTTTAGTTGAAAGACAAATTTTCATTGAGTATTTTAAAAGATAAATGAAAAATGAAGTTGGCAACTCTAAACAATTAAATTTATGTCTATTAAAATACACAAAATTTAGTGTAATTTAGTGGTAATTACATTTGTTAGTGTATAAAAACATCATTATTATTACATTTTCATTATAATTATCTTTTTTTGTATTTTTTTTGCCAATATTTTACGAGATGGCAACCACAATACAAAAAACATAAACATTTCTGTGTTTAAAACGCAATATTTTAACACCAATATTTTTTATGTTTCTAAAAGCATTATTTCGTTGTTTATATACTTGGTGCGACACCGTGTTCTACAAGTATACCATGGCGTATGAGTCACAGCCGTTTTACTTAAACTATCATTATTAGAGTTTGTCTTTATTTTCAAATTGCATATAAAATTTATAGACAAGTGTTATCTCGCACTCGAATAGATTCTAAGTATGTTTTATAGGCTATCATACAATACGATACTAAGAAAACCTCATTTGCCTTGCTAGAACTTACAATTATTTGCTCGCAAACAAAAACAAAATCGAAGTATTTAGGTATAAAATAGCATGTTAACAACACAATAGGCTTAAGCAGCTATGTGTAGTTGCATAAATGTATGTATAAACACACCCACTCATACAAATAAAGAAAAGTTAGGATTGATGTTGAAGAAAAAAAATTCAGAAATTTTTACAGTTTTTAATAAAAAGTAAACTAGTTCAATTACATACATATATTGCAGCAACTGCACCATTAAAGCTTATTAAAAATATATTTACTAGCAGCAATTATAAAAACGAATTAATACCTAGTTAAGTACACATTTTGTTATAGCAAAAATATTAATTTTATTCGAAAAGAGTAAAGAAAGTTATGAGGTATTTGAAATTAGAAAAATTTACAATATAAATTAATGCATATTTCAAAAGGAAAAAGTAATCACCACGTCAATATAAATATTAGAACTCATTACCGACATTGAAACAATAAAGTAACCCGTATTACTAAAAAAAACCAATAAAACAAAACAAAACATTGTTTTATTTAGAATAAATTTTGAAATTGAAATCAATTGCAGTGAGCGCCTCAGGTAATATTGTTATTTAGCATATCAAATCAATCAATAATGAAATATAAGCATATTTCAACGAAAATACTTCATCTTCCAACTATTTACCTCAGTTCGAGCTGATAAAGGCATTTTTAATTTTTGTCTACAACAAGCAACAGTCAACACCCGCAACAGACTCAGTGCAAAGGCAATTCCAAAGCAGATGTTATCAATATTTCACATATTTGCACAGTCATGCTCCAAATTCAGCCCACAACCAATTTGTTGCGGTGAATCTACATAAATACCTACATGCATACATGTCAAATATGTTTCTGAAGAGAGCTTCATTTTCGGCTTGCATCAGTAAGATACCAATGTATGAAATATGTATTGACTGCTTTTTGGTGTATATCTGGTTGTTGTTTATTTTCAATAATTGTTTTAATTTTCTACTCTCGTTGTCACAGATGTGATTGCCGAAATATTTCGCAAGCGAAATTCAAATTTTTTATTCAGTTTTGCTACTAATTTGCAAAAGTTCAGTTCATTTCTAAATTGACTTCGCTTAGTCAAATGTTTCATGGGACATTTGCACTTTTTAGTTCTTAGGACAAGTTTTAGAAACGAAAAGTTTGAAGAAGTGTGTGAACTTTATTGCCGAAAATAGTAAAAGTTTTCGAAATGTTTATAAAAGTGTTTAAGAATAGTAAAAATGCATTTACGTTGTTGCTGTTATTTGGATTTTTTGGAATTACTGTCATTGAAGGTTTGTAAATTATTTTTAGATGGTAAATTGTTATATATTAAACTGTAATATTATATATGAAATTTGTACCCTGGATCACTTTGTCATATTTTTACATCTCTTAAAAAGGTCAAACTAAATAAAGGAAATAATGATAGTAGTCAGGTTTTGCGATCACTATAATCAAAGATTAACGTTCTTTATTTTTTTAAACGTAATATTTCTCATATTGCGTTCTTCACATCAATATACATAAAAATAAAATGACAAATATGCTAACATTTTCGAAGAAATTTTATTTTAATATTGTGGGGGTGCCAGTCTTGATTTATTCTTGAAACACAGCTTTCATTATTGGAATATACCACGTCAAGCACGCAATAAAGCAAATATACCGGCGATAGCTTAGAGTGTACACGAAGACCGTGGAGAGTTGATTCGGAGCCGTTCGTAGCAGCTCGGACTGACGTATGGAACGAATTGGCGCATTTTAAGTGGAGATCTTAAATTAAAAGCGTACAAAATACAGCTAATGCAAGAACACAAGCCACTCGACTTTTTCAAGTAACAACGATTTGCGTGAAGAATTCCAAGAAGATTCAACGTTTTCGAGCCAAATTTTCTTCAGTGATGAGGCCCATTACTGCTTCAATAGGTATGTAAACAACAAACTGGAAAGAGATTCAAGGGCTGTCATTTCATTCAGAAAAAGCAGTGGTTTGTGGGTCGGTGAAATCATCGGAGAACGAAGCCGTCAATGGCGACCATTATTGCGCCATGATAACCGACTATTTGATGTCTGAAAGCTCGTGATCTCAGCGACAAGACGACACCACTTCCCACACATCGCATCAATCAATGGGTTTATTGAGAAAACACTTCGGTGAGCAGATAATATAGGGTCTTAGGCTGGTCGATTGGCCTCCAAGATCGTGTGATATCACACCGTTAGACTTTTTACTTTGAAGATCCAATCCAACATCTATTCAGTCCTTGAAAAGAGATAATATGCAAAGCAGTGATTGTAAAAAGTTTCTTGTGTTTTTAAGTAGGGAACTTCTAAATGGGAAATTCTTTATTAACTAAGAATCCTTTTCTAATAATAGGAGTCATATCAATGATTACCTTAGCTCGCATGTACCTAATACAAAGATGTTTGACCTTCAGGGTGACTTTATACCGAATATATCGGCAAATATGTGAGTCATCTTAATAAAATTGAGAACGTGCTTTCTTTCTAACAACAGTGTATCTTTTTACCTAAAATGGATAAAAACGGGTTGTTCTAGATCCCTTGTAACAAATTTACCAAACATCTAAACATTGACTTTACTTTTTATATAATATACTATATACCGGTCATTTTATGTGAGGTACCTTGAAATTGGAAAATTGAAATTCCATAAACCATAGTTCTACATAATGGGTGATCTAAATAGAGGTAAATGCTTCATCAGCCTGTTTTGAAAGATCGGCACTAAATTTGAAATTTCTGTATTTTTTTCTGCAGGGAAAGCTCGAAATGATTTTCGTTATTCTAACAACTCGTATGCCGAATATGTCTAAACATATTTCCCTGGCTTTGGTTTTAGTAAGTTGCAAAAATATGAAATGTTCGGTTATACCCAAACTTAGCCCTTCCTTACTAGGTGTTTTTATTGTTAAATTCTGTTTATGTATTAAAATCTCCTAACCATTTTATAAATTTTCATTTTATCAGTTTATTTTATCTGGAAATATGTACACCTTAGTATTACAAGCATTACTTTGATAGGTTGAAGTAATTAATTAATGTAATTATTAAACAATTTGTTTACAAAAATGAAATCCTAAAAGTACATTGAAATTCCACGATAAAGCACTCGACTTAAATTTTTAAGACTCCTAAGAGCTTAAAGCACAGTTGTTGACAATTTGTTTGAATATTTTTGTTTACATTAATAATTTTCATAAGGCCACTGTAAAATGGCTTTCGTAGTATAATATTTACAAACAAATATAAAATACTTATGTATGCTAGATTCAACAACTATGGAATGTTGTTATAAATCCTGGGACTTTAATATGAATTATGAGTAAATATAAGATATGTAAATCAAATTTGAACGATTATAAATTTTACGCAACAGCGCTAAAATTTAGTCATGGTTTTGAAGTAATCAGTTGCCAAGCCCACTAATGCCCTACAAGTGCGGACTTTTTTACAAAAAATACTAGACAATTTCTTTTTCTTGTATGTAATTGGGTGCTTATGTATATATATATATATTTTTTAGTGTCTTTTGTAAAAAAGTTGTATATATATATATAAATGTATATATAATACATTTTTTAAAGTCAGCACTATGCATTAGTCACCAGAAGGGTAAACCTTTGATATTTGTGCGCTTATCATTTGCGAATATTAAAGATTACAATACAACTATATTTAATTGCTGGTGATAGAATTGCAAAACAAGTTCATTTAAACAAATACAAACAAACATTTATTTATTACATAAGTGATGCCAAGCGAGCGATAAAGATATGAGTAAAGGAAAATATTGCCATTTTAGTTTGAAGTGTAAGGTCATTCCGATGCATTTGTCTTGTTGGTTACTTTTGTATGTGCCAAGGTGTGTTAATTATTTCATATAATTTCGTAGATAGGTACTGCTCATATTGGTATATGATGTATTATATATTAAGTATTAGTAGTATATAACTAAATTTCCAGAAAGGTTTTTCTTACAACCATACAATTTTTTTGGGAATTATCGCTGCTATCTATTTAAAAAACAATAGAGACCACTAAGAACACTGTTTGTGATAAGACAGCGGCATTGAGTCTGCTGACAAAGCAATGTTATTCCTTCTAACACCAACAACATGTGTGTATGACGTAATGATAAATGAAAACAAAACACGAAAAACGCTAACTGACCGCTACTTGTAACACCCGTTAAAGGAGCACGTTTATTAAAGAAATATATATTGTTCGAATCATCTACAACTGTAATTATAGATTCTTGAGCAATTAGACCCTTCCTGTGTCATGTTTTTCTCGATGCAGTATTTGAAATCTCAGTAAAGTACGACGAATTTTTCGAATAATGTTCTTTCCGTCTCGAAAACTCTTTGGTGGAAGAATGGTCGATTAAAAGCCTATACTTGAGTCATAATAATAGTAAAACAATTCTTACTTTTTGGTAAGTATTTAGCCAATATTGCCATTATCGTGTTCGATAATAAAGAGGCTTAAAGGTTAAAGTTAAGGCTCTCCGGTTAATGGGTTCTGAAGTAATTAGGTTTAATTGCAAGTCTGAAGCATTCAATATTGGTCTAAGTTGTAAGGCAAAACCTAATATTCCCTGTAATGTCGGTTTATTCTGTGACAAAGTTGTGAATACAAAAACTATAAACGACTTATTGTGATTCAAAATCTGTAATGTTTTTACTTTTTGTTGCAGTATTTTAACCTTTTACTCGTATTACGAAAAAGCATTTACGAATTTTTGCCAATTCCATAATCTTGCTTTCTCAATGTCTTTGGAAATAATCTTGTGTTGGGTGTTGTAATTAATGAAAATTGTTCCATGCAGAATTATTTATTTCTTTTTAGAAAGATGGCCTGTACTCAATACGGACGACCTACAGTGAAACATCTAGTTTTGTTTAAAGTTTAGAGTTTAGATCTAACTCTCAATAACTTAGAGTTTAGGTCTAAACTGATTAGATTAGAGTTTGGCCTATGAACCAAACTATAACTTACATACTAGACCTAGTGATACCCGGGAAACCTCCAGATTGTTCGTCTTAACACTTGTTACTCGTAATAATAAAACGAATTCTATTAGAATAATATGTAAATATAATATTACTTCTCTACAGCACTGCAATGTTATGATTGCTACGATTGCGAAGATGACGAGGATCTCAACGAACTACAAATCTGCGGTGAATTTCCCGTAAGTGTTAAGCCCTCTAAACACACAAGAAGATCTACATAAATTTTTCATTAAAATTTTACTACAACAACAAACTCTTTTAATAAGACAACAAAAGCACCCGGAAATGGCGTTAACTCAGAGAATATGACTGTAGTAGCAGGAAATAACACTTTAAGCCCTGGCAATGCAACAACAACAAGTAACTCAACAAAAGGTCCAAGCTTCAATGAAGACGACATCGAAGAGAATAGCGAGGATGAGGACGAGGAAAGCGACGATGATGAAGATGATAGTGAACGGCGTTTGCGACCCGATCGGCAGATGTTCAGCAATACGGGCGATGCCGTGTGCTATGTCGTAAAATTGAAAGGTAAATCGGTAGAAATCTCTTAAGAAGTAGTATTTAAAATATCTTTTTTTTTATTGTTTTTAATATTTGTTTTTAATTTGATCGAAATTTAAAAAAATTTTTTTTTTTTTACTTAGTCAACGACACCACCGTTACTAAACGTGGTTGTGCCACATTTTTCCATGACGATGACACTTGTGAATCCGTTTCTCCTGGTTCGGACATACAAACTTGTCACCTATGTGAAGTGGATGGTTGCAATAAATACGCTGGTGATGATGACTATTGGGGTGCTCTGTGGAATGCTGGCGAAAAAGTTAATGCACAGCATTGGCTTATATTACCGTTATTTATTTTATTGACTTTTTTGAAATATTAAACGAAACTATTTATTTAAAAAACAATAATAATATTAATTTTTTCAATTTATTTTAGATTTTGTGTACACTTTTCAGTAATAAATAGAGTTCAAACTAACAGCCAAAGTATTGCTGGGCTTTTTTAATTTCATACTCGTCGTTTTCGATTCTTTCGTTCTATTTGTTATCGCTTTTATTCGTCGCTGATTGGTTCCTTAACGAAAATCTTTCTCTTAAGTACTTTATTTCGGCGCCGCTGGTAAAATTTAAATAGTTTTTACTTCGTCTCACTCTGCACTCTGTTTATCAACCTTGTGCCTTGAAACTCCACGAAGAAGTAGACAGAGAGAGAGAAAAAGTGAAAAATAAACAGAAAGTTACCCAGAGTAGGTTCTGACTAGTGGCAGTATGTAGATTTTGTGTAGAGCTACAATATATTTATTATTAGAATCTTCAATGCCGTTTATTCCATAAAGAATAGGATTCAGTCGATTCTTTGATAGAAAGACTTTTTTGCGAATTGATATCATAGAGCATAGATATCTTCGTCCAGAAAAGTGACAGACGATTTACCCTCGACATTTTCGTTCCACTACTTCGTTTTCTATAATGGATTTAACAGTCAGTAATTTATGGTAACATAGCATACTAATTATTAGAAGTTCCATCGTCTGAAACTATCTATTAGAACGAAACATCTGTATTGAATAAAACAAAAGAAGTTCGAAACCATGCAACATACACTTTCCTTCAACAGAACAGCAGGGAATACAACATTTCTACTTTACTTTACTTTCGTATACCCAACAGTATTTAAACTCAATTAAAAAACAGCTATGAGACTGATTTTGCGATCAGGGTTTCAGGTATCAGATATCGGTTATTAAGCGAAAATTTAAAAAGAATTCAAACCTAAGTAGAACTCGTGAAATGCTTGAGTTATAAAATTGAGCTATAAAAGTTTACCAAAAGTCTTGAGTAGCTCTTATGACCAAAGAAAAATTCTATAGGAATAAAAATCGTAACAAAAAATTAATTAAATACCAAACTAAAGTAACTATGTATTATTTTACTGTCTATTATGTATTATTTTACTGTCAATAATTACCCATTTGAAACAAAGAAACAATCTTCTGTCAAAACAATTACACTTTATGATCAGAAAGTAATGAGTTTAAGAAGAATTATTACTTTCTTCAAAATAAATCGTTTCGAACGGTGATTTCATTTCCACAATCGTTAACCGAAAATCTCCTAATACAGCTGTCAACATTTCAGCAACGTATAATCAATTACACTTTGGAACATTAGATGTTTTCAGGTCGTTTTAGGCGTATTGATAAGTTTCGAACAACATCGATTGACTTATTCTACACACTCGTAGTGTTCGTTTCTAATAACGGCATTTAAAAACGCCGCACTCAAAATGACAGTAGCTAAAACTTAAATTCATATTTATATGTGAAGGCGTATGTGTGTCATAATTTACGGTACCGAAGTCGATAAACTCATTGAGGTATAAGGGTCGCGTAATCTGTAGGTAAATGAATACGTATAAGAGGGAGCCGATTTCTTTTGATTTATGATAGGCAATAATTTATATTTAATTACTCGTACATTTATTTTTGGGAACTTACTATAAACGGAAAGAATGTGAAATTTATTTATTTATGTTTTTAAATTTATAGAACTTATTCATGTTATTGTTTCATACTTTAATTTACACCACTTAAAATATAGTGTTATCACGTATTTGTTAATATAAATTAAGTATTAACAAAAAAAACATTTTATAGTGAATATAAGCCAGCAAATTGGGAATGAAAATGAACGAAAATTTCGTCGAAACGAACACGATTGTCGAACTAATTCGTTTGAGAATGGCCTGCCAAGTCTTCAGAAAGTCTTTCATGAACAAAATTTAATAAAGGGTTGCCAATCAATGAGAAAAAAATTTATAATATATAAATTCTAAAAAATCCGTTCATACATTTCTGTGAGGCCTTCAATATATTTTGGAATAGAGTTACCATACAGTGAAGTAAAATTAAAGTAAATATCACAAAATATTACATGTACGAGTAAGCATCTAACAGATGGGCCTTTGAGTTACCACCCACCTAAAAAATCTAAAGTAAATCAAGAAAATGTTTCACCCGGAACATGGTAGTCTCAATGAAAGACTTATTTAACTTATATAACCAACCATTCAAGAATTGGTGCCTGATGGGTTCCAAGTATTTTGTGTCGTCTTAAGGAAGAGCTAGGCATTCACAGAAAAAATGGAAACCGTTTTTGTATTCCCATCTAGCTTGCACCTACGGCAAATATTGTATAACTATAAGGTAGACCCATTTTTAGCGAATGCTCGCGCGTTATAGCAGTCTGTTTGTATTATTTCTGAGCCTATATATGTAGTAGGTCATTTGTTCCATTCCTGTCACATTTGCGCCATATCTGCCTTGCAGTTTGTTATTGATTTCCATCTACTATGAGCTATTTGTGCAACATACTCTCCTCTGATCATTCCTAGCGGTTTTGATATTGACTCAGATTCATCTAAAGAGCCTCTTAGCTTTAGCTTTATGCAACTAGTTTGTCTTTTCGTTGCCGTAAACGCTCCTGTGAACCGGAACCCTAATTACGGACAAGTGCAGGTTAGCAGTTAGTGAGATTAAAGCCTTCCTTCAGCTTTGACTATTGAGTCGACCAGGTCAACAATGCCGCCTAGCTGTCTGTCTACCATATATAGTAGTAATCTTTATTCTCCCGCAGTTATTCAATATAATTTCACTTCTCCAACCCTAGTATTTCTGCTTGGTATGTGATGACTGAGTTTGTTTGGAATATACTCCGGTCTATACTCCGCAGTATATTAGGTTGTCAGAAAAGCCAGAAAAGGTTATTTCTTGCGGTATTTTTATTGAATTTTCAATTGTTCATAAATTTTTTTTTTTTGATGACTCATGCCCAGCTCTTGACCGATGCTACGGCTGCTACTATGCCGGTGTCGACCAATTCAGCGACTTTATCGCAATTTTCGACGACAGGCCTTCCGGAGCGGGGCGCATCTTCGACCACCTCTACACCAGAACTAAAACGTTGAAACCATCGTTGTGCGGTGGAAATGGAAACTGTATCGGGTCCATAAACTGCACAAATTTTATTGGTGGCTTGAGATGCATTTTTGCCTTTATCGTAGTAGTACTATAAAATATGCCATATTTTCTCTTTATTTTGCTCCATGTTTGCGACGCTATAACTCACAAACGACTTAAAAGAAACGACTTTGAGCGACTTTTGAGCTTTCCAAAAAGGTATAGCATGACCTGATGCGACGAATAAAACTAGAACTAAGCGCTCTCAGCGCAAACTAGCGAAAATACCGCAAGACTTGTTTGACAAACTAATAGTTTGGACCCGTCGGTATGGATAGAAGTAATTTCTTCCTCGACTACTAAATCTCTTCTCCATACACTTATAGAGGGAATCCTCACCCGAAAGCGATTAAATCTAACCTTAAGAGGATATAGTCTTTAAAAATATAATTTAGTGTTGCCACATTTAATAATTTCTTACTATTAATTTGTTATGTTAAATCACAAATTCCTAAAAGTATAGAGATAATTATTGTATATATTTTTTTAGCTACTTTTGACATCTTAATGACTATGCGCCTATAAATGTCCATATGTAAGCGCATTTCAAAATTTCTGCAGACAACTAAGAAAATCAGTACTTATCACGTCATATTCAAAGTGTCAGTTTCTCTACGATGTGTCTTGCTATAATCGTGTGCTTAAATGTCACTTAATGTACTCGCAAGATTTACCATACACTTGCTAACAGGCATATGCACATATATTAGCATATTTCTATGAGTAGTCACACAAAAAGGCATGTTCTCAAACCATGTGATCATATCAATATACATATTTACGCACATATTAGCGAAATCGATTAAATATTGATAAACTGATAGTAAAATTTGGGTTCGACAGGACACATTATTAATGACTTGCGCAAATTATACATACATTGTCACAAAAATCATGACTTCACTTTTATAATTGTTAATTGTTCGCGAATATTTATAGTAAAATTGATTAGAGGCTTATATGACTTACGCTTTTACGATCGCGTGCAAAGCAAAATCAAATTTATCACCCGCACAAAACTGTAATCAAATCATTTGTGGCATTAAGCAGTGTTTGGGGATTGACTGAGGATAGTAAGTTATATTTAAGTGAGTTATGACCATTGAAACTAACTGAATTTCACTTCCATCATCAGTTTTAAATTAGATTATTATTTCAGTAAGCGAAAGTACCAAGGCGGTAGCCCCATCGGTTAAAATAGCAGAATTGCTGTAATAGTAATTATTACTAATAAAAATTATAATATTAGTAGAAATAGTAGGTAATAATTGAAGTGACAATAATAGTGAAAATAATTATATATTTATAAGTTTCGTTATGTTTAATTAATTATCTCATTAAATGTTTAAAGTCTTTTTAACCACTTTATTTACTTGAATATCATTTTTCATTAAAATTTTCTACAATTTACTATTATTTACTTTCTTCCTTTTTCTTTGTTTGTCTTTACATTTCAGGATTTGGCAACCCTGGTATTATAATCTGGCAACTCAACGCACTATCGTAAAGTTTGATATTTTTGATGGTATGCATACTCAGAACTTTTTGACATACGAGCGCTTTTTGCCTGATTTACAGTAACTTAAAATATTCATCACGACTAAAAAATTGATTTTTATCGCGAAAATTTTGTACAATTGGCGACGTGGACCAATTTCGTAATATATAATAGAAGTCGTAGATCACTCCAAGACGATAGGGTTCTACAAAATCAGTTGTTGTTCCAGAAACTACTGATTAATGATGTGTGAAACTGTAGCCAAAAGATCGTTATGTGACTTATCGTCAGATTCTGACCACTATAGGCATTAGTGGACTACCATAAATTCAATATTGTATGAACACTTGGCTGTGAAAATCCTGTCGATTAGTCGAGAAAAATGTTGAAAAAAAAATGTCACAATGTGACCGGTAAACAAAACCAACAAAAACTGTTCGCACAGGAAAC